GAAGAAGAAGAAGAAGAAAAAGAAAAAGAAGAAGAAGAAGAAGAAGAAGAAGAAGAAGAAGAAGAAGAAGAAGAAGAAGAAGAAGAAGAAGAAGAAGAAGAAGAAGAAGAAGAAGAAGAAGAAGAAGAAGAAGAAGAAGAAGAAGAAGAAGAAGAAGAAGAAGAAGAAGAAGAAGAAGAAGAAGAAGAAGAAGAAGAAGGCTTTATTATGCAGACACTCCATTATTAACAATTGCTTTGTCATGAACCCATCTAGTTACCCAATATGTCAGTCAGGGGAAACAAAGGTTTGCTGTCCCTATAAACCTTATTAATACTTATTAATAAATCGAACTCAAAAGTTATGGTATTTGAAAAGTGACATGACAGCCAGGCATGGCTATTCGATGGTATAAGACAATAGAGCAAGTAACTCCATTCCTTACCTAGAGTTATTTTTTCTGAGACTGCAACTTGGCTCCCTCATCATCAAAAGGAGCTCACTTAGGACCAGGGCATAAGGGAATTTACTGATTAGATTTTTAAAAATATAACTATCCCATTTATTTAGCCCCATTTGATAAATTATATAAAGCCAAGATTTGTCTGTGCTCTGATATCGAGCTGAAGTTTGGATTAAAATGTATCACTACTAAAGCAAACCCAATCACACCACCTGAGAAATATCTTTATGGTGAATAAAAGGACGTCAGATAAACTTATTTATCTAAAATCTGGGTACATATTTTTTTTTTAAAAAAAACATAGCTATCCACCTTCTTTAGCCCCATTTATTAAAATGTATAACGTCAAAGTTACCACCAAGTTCTTAAAAAGAGCTGAAGTTTTGAGCCTAAAATATATCGCTACTAGAAACAGCCCAATCACATCATCTGACAAATATCTCAGAGGTGGACAAAAGGTCTCTCTGCTTCTGTCTCAGAGCTGAATTGGGAGGGTTTTTTTTGTCTAAAATTGGGACATATAATTATTAGTATAAAATTAAAGCCCTGGAAATTGACAGACTCCCAATATTCTTCCTGTTAAAACAGACAGCATTTCAATTAAAGACTGCTTGGACTGTAAAAGTTACAAATTATATTAAGATATATGACCTCTCTCTGTCTTGTACAACTGGAGTACAAATTTAAAAAATGGTTGCAGAAAGAATCTGGGATATCAGAGCAGAGAAAGATGCAGCCATTCTCAGTAAGTCTGGCACATTGAAGTGGATGAGCATCTAATAATTCCCCTTTCAAATAGTGAAGTATTTGAATACTGAAATGGATGAACATCTTAGGGTGCTACTTACACAAGCAACATTTGATCAGATTTAACCAAGTCCTTTATAATGAACAAACTTGTATTTTTGTAAACCCAGAGATAGAAGACATAACACAACTATTACTTCAATGTCAATTGTATAAGAGAGAGATCAGTATCTTGGATTGCAGATTAAATGAATGCCTTATTGCCATCCGTATGTTAAAAAAGTATTTCCTCTGACAGAACTTAAAACTTATATATAATACAGCTTTTTATTTGAACAAAACAGTTCAGTTGAAATCTGCAAATGTGGGTCTGATTGCAGAAAAAAGTAAGGGTGATACAGAAATATGATTTGCATTCTTTACTCTGATTCTTTCTTACTTATTTTATTTCTTTTATTGTACTTTTTCTGGTCTTGCTAATGTGCTGTGTTTAATATCCTGGATAATTAACAATACATTATTCTAATATGTTCATGACAAAACAAGTTGGATTTATTGAAAGCCAATAACTGACACTAAATACAGTATTCTTCACTGCTTTTTCAGATCTGTTCAATTGCCTCAGAAACTCTGAGCGATAAAAGTCAATTCCCTTTTTTCTATCTCATGCTCCCCAAAATAGGGATTCTCTACCCAGGAATTCTCCAACTGCTCCTCCATTTCAGATGGACCTCAATTGGTCTCTTTGCTTCAGAAACAGAGAATGGAGGGGATTTCATGAGGACATTGACTCCTATGCTTGTCAGAAATGGAATCTGTATTCTTATATCACAACTATTGCCAACCACTACACCTACAACAATGTTTAGGGATGCCATCTCTAAGTGGAGACAAGTCAATGTCTTTGTTCACTTCATAGAATATCATTTTCTTTGGGACAGAATTCATCTTTTCCATTCAACACTTGAAAATTTGCCAGAACCCATTGAAAGGAAAGTCTGGATAATTGCAGGCTTTGGGGAATTGCAAATAAGAAGACAACCATTTCTCAAATATGTCCATAGTGTTTGGACCTATGGTTTTCAGTGGAAAGAAAGGCCAAATGACAGTTCCTTTGAACCAGATCTCTTTGTGCAACCACAGTTCGGAGATCAGTCTTTTCACTGTTCTTTTTCAAAAGACATCATTTCTGTCAAAGGCCGGAGAAGATGCACTCAGAAATTACCACTGAAGACCAACGTGGAAAATAACAAGATCTGGAAGAAATATAACCGTCATGTTTACACTTTGATTAATACTCTGGCCCATGCCTTGATTGCTGCATATTCCTCCATATTCAAGAGGAGAAAGAAAGATGGAGAAGAGAGGCTGGGAGTTCAAAAGCTGCAGTCATGGCAGGTATGAGGTCCTGACAATGATCCAAACTTACTTTTTTGGGAGAAGGATTACAAGGGAGGAGGGGAACCATCTAAACCTTTTTTTTGCCAACAGGTTTGGCAAATCCTATCACTTGTGGATATGTATATTGAGATATATATTGAGATATATATTGATATTAATCAGCATTAATTTTATAATCTATGAAATTTAAATAAATTTCTGTCTTTATGAATTTGTGATGAGCATTTTAGGATTTTATGAGACCATCTAGCTCTATGCCCCTTCTTTACAAAACTCCCAGTTAAAACTTCTTTAAGTGATGGCTGCTTGATCTTTGCATTAAAACAACAATGATGGGGACATGAACTTATCTAGTTCACAGGATCAGCTCTAAAACTGCTTCTCTTTTTAGGGTATTTTTCACCTCATTCAGTCAGAATCTCCTCTCTTGTGATTGAGCTCAGTTTTCCATTTTTCCATGTCCAACACTCTGGAATAACAGCAAACTCCTGTGTAACATCTTTCAGTTATTGGAAGAGTACAGGTAATCCTCAAGTTATGAGCGTTCACTTAATGCTCGTTCAAAGTTACGTGATGAGTGCCCCCTAGTGCTTACAAGCAACTCCTGAAATTATGAGTATTGCAGCACCACAGCAGTCATTTGCCCTTATGAGCAACCGCAGTG